CTGTATTTCTCACCTTAGCCTTACATTTCCACCTACCTATTTGTATGCTTTTTGCATATGCGCATAAAAAAAATCAGTTGATGGAAACGCCAAGATGCGCATAACTTTTGAAATGTTATGTTTAACTGATGAATGTAAAAGTGGGAACCTTAAATTAAACCGGTTGTCTGGATTCTTGTTCAATATTTTCAAATGAAGATGTGAAAAAGTTTATTTGAAACAAATGGTGTTTGAGGCTCATGATATATCATTTCCATGTACTGGACACTTTTTATTCAGCTATGGCCATGTATATCTAGGTTTTCCTTATATGGCATCTTTAAAGCTAAAGTATGCCTGATTGTTTCAAGCTGGAATCAAATCATAATTGACTCCATTTATCTCTTAATACACATTCCTGGTCTTATCGTGAACAACAGTAATCCCTGATATATCCTGAACAAAGCTCCACTGGCTTGTAAGAGATTAACATAACGCCAGCCTACAGTCTTCATTAAGTGTCAACAAACACTCAGTTTACTCGGACCCTTTAAAGCTGTAGTATGAGGCCTGGAACAGTTTAGTTTGTGCTGCAGCCATGTTGAGAAGACTTGATCCACTATGCAATCACTTCCAAAAAAAAAAAAACTAGGAATTTGCAAGGGATATGGTAGAACTGACACTATTGTTTTATCAGTGTGTATACAAGAGCTGAAATTCAGATATGGTCATATATGATTTAAATTCAAAAGTACACTGTTGTAAACAGAATAAGCCATTTGACTAATCAGAACAAGGTAGACTCTTGGAAAGAAGGGGTTTAGAGAGATTGAATCTTTGAACAGACTGATTCAGGTGCTTCATGTAAGACAAAATACTGCTTTGCATATTATGACATGACAGGTGTATTCTTGATCTAGGATGAACTTATTATAGAAGACCTCCAAAACAAAAAGAGCAAACTTTAATATTGCATAATAGGGGCACTTCAGAAACTGTGCACGTGCTCCTCCTGCATACCCTCCATATGCGCAGATAGTCTCCACTGGTTGCCAGTAGGTCTGGATAGACGCCTTTGGTGTCTGGGATCCACATGATCTTGGTGGTGGGGTACGGATGATCAAAAGTGTTTCTGCATACAAACTCTGAGCTCTCCTCCTCAAGACCAACCAGCTGGACCTGAACATCACAAAACAAATAGCATGATGTCATAAGTTTCTGACAGCATGAAAGTAGCACCTTTTTCATTTTTATAGACAATTATATATTTTCCCACTTTATTTTTGTGATCATTTTTGGTTGTGACTGCAAGCACCATATGTTGTGCCAAAAATGTGTTTTTCGGTTACCTGTGGAGCAAATATCTAAAAAAAACCAAATATATTTACCTTCCATTTTCTGCTTTGAAGACTGCTGATTAAATTAGGGCTGGACGATATGGCACAAATGCAACCTCAATAGTTATTTTCAATATTAAACGATGACAATATATATTTTACGATACAAGTTGATAATGCTTCCAGATTTAAAAGAGTACCCCAACAATGACTGAAGCCACAAAATATTAGAGGGTCCATTAAATGGCATAACATATTTTCAGCTGATAAATTTTCAGTTAGAGTTGTGCGATTTGGGGAAAATACCCAATTGCAATTTTTTTGACAGACATTGCGATTTTATTTTTGATTTAATTTTGTAGTCAAGATTCAGCTCAATAATTTGTAAGTTGTGGCAACAACTCTGCGACATCTCTTCAAAATGACCTGTGTTTGTTCCGTGTCTGTGACTGAAACTAAAATATTCCCATATCACGACATGCTGTTTTTCTTTGATATGAATTCTTCTATTAATACTTCAGTTGCAGATGCCATATTCCCACCTTCCTGCATTTTGCTGTTTGTTTCCTTTTTATTGAGGGTTTTCGGCATAGTTTGGTTGTGCAATTCTGTTTAGGCAGAATGAAAGTGTGCTCACTCAATTGGCTAGTAAGACTGTCAAGCTACTACGACAGTTTCAGCGGGGGAAGCTAAATAATACTTCATATCGCAGCCTCTTGCGATTAACTTGTTGCAACGTTTCGAATTGCAATTCGATTAATCGCACAGCGATTTCAGTAGCCGAAAAAATGGTACAGCTCTAATATCATCAAACTTTCAGATTCCCATTGTGGCACATTTCTGCTGTGTGATTGGCTCTTAGATCAATATAGAGTAAAAAAGTCCAGTGCTTATCATTGTTATTTATATTATATAATATTGTGATTCGATATGATATTTATATAATATTATGTATTCATAACTACGTGTGTGGAGGGATGAATAGTGTTTGTAAGTATATGCTGTGAAGTGTACATGTGAGTGGTAGATTTTTTTATGTGATAAAGCACAATAAAATGGCTGTATTTAAATGAATTCTTCTGGTCACTGACATGGGACTGATGATAAAAAAAGAGTCTATATTTATTTTCCCACAAAAAAACAACAACAAAAAAACAGTGGTAATGATTAAATGAAATGTCTAAAATTATTGCATTTTCTGACAATTATCATCAGGACTGGTGCGGGTGGTACAGAAAAATCTGTCAGTGAAAGGGTTTTGAAAGCCCTAGATATACTTCTATTATGAATTTTAGACAGACATTTTGTCCTCTACGAACCTATTCGTAACCTTTAATTCGCACACGCTAAATACAAGATACAAAATAACAGTCGCTTAAAATATACAATTATTAGTGTCTGTCATACATTTGCGCGTTAAAATTCCAACACTGTGGAATAACCTGCACCTTACATGTTTTTAGGCTACACACTTCACTATGTGAAATGATAGCGTGTGTCATAAGATCAGACATAAAGCATAGTGTTGTGTGGCAGCAGGTGTTTACCTTGTTGTTGTACTCCTCGACGAAGCTGCCGAGCGCGAGCCGAAAGCGCTTGTCGGGTCTGACGCTCCAGTTCATAGCATAGACGGTCCATGGCGCCTCGTATTTGTAGATCTCTTTTCGTTTACCGTGCAACGACATGCTTCAATCCCAGTGATCGGCGACAGCTAGAGAGAATTAGGTCGTTAGGAGTAGCTTGATTCGACGGGATGTTTAAAAAAGGCTCTTACAGAGATAAATATGGTCTCGGGTTTGTGCAGCGCGAGACAAAGAGAACGTCATAACAATCCCTCTCCGCAACGGCCGCGAAAACGACGAGCTGCCTACAAAACAGCACGATTCCTGCCTAATAAAACACGCAAATAACCATCAAACATTCATAACTGCGTGTAGCTAAAGGGCCATGTTTTTCCTTAGTCCCGACGGTTTTAATTCTAACTTTAGAAAGCCCTAAATAGGCCCTACCGCTCAACGGCGCATTTGGTCTGAAAGATGTGTGTCTGCGTTTCAAAATAAAAGTCCCGGATAGAAAATGGGGGTTGAGCGCTGAGGCTATTTATAGATCCATGTTGCTAGTTGATTATTTTACTTGCGCATCATACTGGGCGGCATAATGTTTATGAAATTTTGATTAATTTTAGCTCCCTTCAGCCATGGAAATTAGCAAAGTGTAAGATTTTTTTTAAACTGCAAAAACACTAATCGCAGTATGAAAATGTAAAATAAGAGTGAATATCAAATAGAGAATAGAGAAATATGAATAAAAATCTGAAATCTGATTTAAACAGAAGTGATTAGTAAAAATAATGTAAAAAAATGCTTGTAAACATATTTCATTCTCACTTTAAATTTATTTGAGACATTTCAGTGTCCTAATTATCTTTGAACCTTTGAAACCTGCAAAAACACTAAATAGATTAAAATGCAAACATAAATGATAAAATATATAAATAAATTAGTAAATAAATAAATAAATTCTTCATAAATAAAACATTACATAAATTAATATGCAAATATATAAATAAATGAATAAATAAATCCATAAATTATTGCATAAATAAAACATTAAATAAACAACATTTGCAAATTAATAAATGAATATAAATAATATATAATACGAATATAAATAAATGTATATAAAAAATCCACAATTGTTTTTGCATATATAAATATTTAAATAGAACGAGCATGCAAATAATTATATAAATTACGGGAAAAAAAGAAAATGCTAAACTGAAAGTTTATTCATCCCCTCTCTCAAACGTTTATTAGAAAAAAACTTTCAGTGTAGCATTTTTATATTCCCCTCCTGTAATTTATTTAATTATTTGCTTGCCTGCACTATTAACTATTTATATATTTATTTATGCAGAAATCTATGGATTTATTTACTCCTTTATTTATACATTTGCGTATTTATTTATTTATTGTTTTTGTAGGTTTCGCCCTCCATAAAATTGTAATAATAACAATACTATAAATAAATGCACAAATTCCTCCATAAATAAAACAATAAATAAATAAATATTTAGATAAATGAATAAATATACAAATTCCTGCATAAATAAAACAATAAATAAATTATATATATATATATATATATATATATATATATATATATAGATAGATAATTCTACAGATTTCTGCATAAATAAATATAGAAATAATTAGTATTGCGGTGAGAAAGGGGGGAAATCTACAGTTTAGCATTTTCTTATTACCACATATCCGTGTAATATATTTAATTATTTATAAAAAAAAGTATACATATTTATTTATTTGCATATTTATTTATTGTTTTGTTTATGCAGGAACTTGCGGATTTATTATTTTATTTGTTTGCATATTTATTCATTGTTTTTGCATGTATGGTCCTCCATACATTGGTGTTGTTATTATTTAATACACAATATTATATATTTATATTGTATATTATACATAATATGTGTAACATTAATAACTAACCACGACATCTAACAGTCCACACTTCAGCTACAGTTTAAATAAAAAAAAAAAAGAATCATTTATTAGAGCGGCGTAAACGCCCGAATCTTTTCCTTTTCTTATCCTGGTTGTCAAGGCTCGCGCGCAAAGCATTGTGGGTAGAGTGATTCGGTCAGATGACCCCCTTGCCTCTCCTGTGAGGGGTACAGCTGCTGTCACACACTGAAGGTAACACCGGCGGTTACAGGTGGGTCTTCTTAAATTCCTTGGTCTTTTTTGTAATAAACCCGTGATCTGAAACGTTCGCACAGCCGCAGTGCAGCAGAAATGTCGCGTGTCGTTTGAACGTTACGGCTGTTCTTGTGGCGGCCGTTGCTAGTGAGCTAATCGGCTATCAGTCTACGGGGCTCATGGGGGATGGGGGAACCCGGGTTGGGACCTGTTAAATGTAATATTTGTTAAATTTATCAGACTTGACTATTACTGTATATCAGTCCGGTGTGTTCTCTAGCAGTTCAGCGTGAAAGTTTTAGTTTAACGACGAGGTGGCGCTGGCACGACGAGGTTTTCCGAGATTGGAGGTTAAGCTGGGTTAACATTTAATATTAACTTTGCGGTTTGTTATTCCAGAGTTTATTCCAGGACTGGCCTTGTAACAGGTGGAGCATGACTTGACAGCCGGTTATAGCTGTTAACTGATATTACTAGTTACGTGTAACTCCTTGTCTTGGCATAAACTGCTGTCAGATTTTTTTTTTTTTTTTTTACATACAATAGATTGAAGTATTGCTATATTAGTGCCAGTTGTAGTGTAAATGAATTCAAACCAGGCCTGAAGTGTATTTATGCCATGATGTTGTAATGAAGTTATCTTTATCTTTAATTATTATTTTATAATAATAATAATAGACAATTAAAAAACTTTTTTATATTTTCATATATTTTAATTGTTATCTTAATATTTGGTCATTTTCAATTTAGAATGAAATATACTGTACAAAGACTGATATACTATATACTAGTCAGCCATGGCTTCATTTGGGTATTAAAAGGCCATAAAACTAGCTAATTTGTGTTGAATATATTAATAGTAACATTAACTTACAAGACTAAATGAGCTAAAAATCAAAATGTAAACTCAAATAGTATTTAATATTTTAGTTTTTTCACTTAACAATTTGTCATTTTTAGATTAGAAACTCTTTTTCCAAGATCTTTGGCAACCTAATATAGGAAAAAAATGACACAAATGTTGAAAAGTCGTGAAAATGTAAAGTTAGGTCCTATATTATTTTTATTGTCAATACTATAATGCATCTTTATGTTTTATACATTTGTGTTTTTCATGCTGTGTTTTTTTTTCTTTAGAAAGAAATTGTCATTTGTAATTTTGCTATTTATTAAGAAAAAATTACATAATTTGTTAAATTTCATTATTATTATTATTAAATATAGTTTACATTTATATAGACTAAATAAATATACCAGGACAATTTGGTTGGCCCCATAAGTCGATGCTCATACTAAAGCTCCATATTTCTCCTCTTGAAGGAGAACATGCTACAGACTGTACCATGTGATTATTAAAGACTTTCAGCCAATTAAAGACACTTGTTTCAGTGAACATCTGAGGCTTAGGCTTTGACAATAAGACTCTCAAATGAATGTCTTACCTCCCCCTTCCTTATCTATCTATCTATCTATCTATCTATCTATCTATCTATCTATCTATCTATCTATCTATCTATCTATCTATCTATCTATGTGGTGCAAAACCTGGATATTTGAAACAATTATTTGTTCATCTATTGAGTGTTTTTCTGCATTGGTTATCAAAGTATTAATACATGCACACACACATTTCTGGTTAGCAGTTTAAACACTAGGTATTTTGTTATTAGAGTCTTATTTTGTGTTTACTACAACATGCCTTATTGTCTTAAGCATGGAGTACTTTGGGCTAAGTGTGTTTTGACATGTTTTTGGATATACACACTAAATAATTCACAAGGTAGTATCGTGACTGGTTTGATCACCTGTAATGTTATTGTCAAACATCGACTCTGTATTTTTCACTTACACCTCTACATTAGTTTATAGTACCAACAAATAAGCCTGAATATGCACTAGGGCTTTGCGATTTGGAAAAAATATCTAATTGTGATTTTTTTTTTTTTTTGACATATTGCGATTTGATTTATAATTTAATTCAAGCTTTAGCTCAATAATCTGTAGACCATGGCAACAATTCTGTGATATCTCTTAAAAATTACCTGTTTTTTTTCCTCCTGAAGGACATGCATAATAAACAAAAGGTAACACAAGATATTTTATATTTAAAACAATTTAAGAATATGGAAAACAATAATATTTATGACAGGCCTATTTAAATAATTTAAAAAAAGGATTAATTTGTTTTTTATTGCACAAAAATATTTTTTTCCACAGCTGTAATTTTTAAATGATCACATGACACAGGCTAGCAGAACATGTACACATATTTTCCCATCATATAAATTAATTTAGTTTTTAAATGGCAATATAATGAAATATTGATAACAATTAAAATAACAATATTTTTACTAGTGCTGGGCAATTTGGCCTAAAATCAAAATCTCAATGAATTGAACATTTTAACTTGATTACGATTAATGAACGGTTATTTTATTTGTTTTATTTTTTGCCCTCATAGTTCACTGACAGGTTATGTACAGTAAATATGCTCACATATTACAAGTGAGAGATTTCTGAAGGGGGCTTTACTTGATTTTAAAGTAATTGAAGGAAACATGCACTATCTATGATCTAGATAGTTGATAGATCTATTTATTGAAAATCAACGTTGAACAACTGAAATTAAAACACACATTGCCCTAAACCAAGCTAATTTTTCTTATAAAAAGTAAAAATTAATAACTTGCACTTTTGGAAACAAAATAAATTACTTTCTGTGTTTTTTTTTATTATAAAAGTAGAAAATAAGCAGCATATCTTCTAAATTAAATAACTATAAAATATAAATAAAATATGTCCTGTAAATAATAATTTAAACTGCATTTCTTGCATCTTCTGTAAACAAATATTTTAATGTAAATAATAATTTTATTGTTATAAAAAATATGCCGTCTCAAGGCACAGCTTCCAATCATAGTTAATTTAGTGCAAATGTGTGACGTGTAGTCACATTTTTTGAGTGGTACACAGGTATGTGCCATTTCAGCCTTAACAGAGCAGGGTCATGTGACTCCACATGCGGTCAGAAGAGTAATTGAAAAAAATTACCTGGAAAAATTTGATCGATTATAGGTTTTGAATTTTGATTTCGATTACTTTTCGATTAGTCGCCCAGTGCTAATTTTAGCTATACTTTTAATAAAATTATAAAATCTTTTTTTTCTTTCAAAAACATAATATCACACACTTTTGCACATACTTTTGAACACTTGGCTGTTTACAGTGGAGTTCATTTATATTTGTGTAGGTTGAGCCATGAGGCACCTGGTCTTCCTCCTCCTCCCAGCCCTGCTCCTGCTGTTGGCCCTGCCAGACACTAGGGGGCGCTACAACGACGACTTTGATGACGGTGAGGACATCGCTGAATTTGATGACAATGACTTTGCAGAGTTTGAGGATGTCAGCGAGGATCCAGCTGTGGATGTGGAGAAAGAACCACCACCTCGACCAGCTCCTTCGTCTACCCCTGTAGAGGATGACGAAGACGAGGCCACGGTGGAGAACGAAGACGGCCAGGATGAGTTTGAAGATACAGATGCACAGGTAATGATGTGATGTGAAAACATTTCTTCTGCAAATCAAAGTAAATGAATAATATAATCTGATCCAATCATCATTACAGGATCAAGACATGTACAACAAATATGACACTGACGAGTTTGAAGGCTACGAGAAGTCTAATCCTTCATTCAAAGACACTCTTATATACAGAGAGGTACAAACAAAAAACATTTGACCTTTACAGATGCATCAGTGGTGTCCTCATCTAACAGTGCATATTTTTAACAGGTCCCAGCACACTTGCAGAACAGCTGGGAGAGTTATTACATGGAAATCTTGATGGTCACTGGACTTCTTGCATACATTATGAACTACATAATTGGCAAAAATAAGAACAGCAGACTCGCACAGGCCTGGTTTAATTCCCACAGAGAACTTCTGGAGAGCAACTTTGCCCTTGTTGGTATGCATATGTCTTGTTTCGCTATATGCTGTTTTTGCTGACCTTGTTTTTTCTTCTGACTGTTGAATGTGTTTTGTCTTAGGTGATGATGGTACCAGTAAGGAAGCCACCAGTACAGGGAAGCTAAACCAGGAGAACGAGCACATCTACAACTTATGGTGTTCGGGACGGGTCTGCTGTGAGGGGATGCTCATTCAGCTGAAGGTAATATTTCATAAAAGATTATTTTGATGTCATTTAGGATTTAAATTGTGTGGGTGCTTAATTAAAGGTTGTTATTTTTTTAAAGAAGTCATTAAATGCATTTTACATTTTTGTTATATCATGTTCCTACAGAGTATTTTATAAAACTTTCAATAAAAGGCATAAAAAAACAAAACAAAAAAAACAATATATATATATATATATATATATATATATATATATATATATATATATATATATATATATATATATATAGTTTTTTTTGTTTTTTATGCCTTTTATGCCTTTTCACTGCAAACTTTACCCATGTGTACAATTAAACTGAACTTGAAACTGGTAATTCAGAAAACTGAAATGAGAGGAAGAACAGTTGAAGATTTTATGTCAGTTGATTCATTTGTAAACTAGGGGTTTCTTTTGAATTCAGATACTTTCAGTTTGTTTTTTATTGCAGAGTGATCGCTCAAATGTGAAAATGTCAATATTTGATTTTGCATTTCATGAGCCTTTTAATGGTTTATTATGTAGCTGTAATGAAACACTCTTGGTTTGATGTGTGTCACCATCATGTCTTTTTTCAGTTTCTGAAAAGACAGGACCTGCTGAATGTGCTGGCCAGGATGATGAGACCAACCTGTGATCAAGTGGTAGGCACACAAACACTGATGTCTTACTGTGACTCATTACAAGTAGTATCTCAGATGACTGTTTACAAGAATGTTCCTCTCATTCTGACTTTTAATTTTCCACAGCAAGTTAAAGTGACTCTAAATGATGAGGATATGGACACCTTTGTGTTTGCTGTGGGAAGTCGGAAGGCCATGGCACGGATGCAGAAGGAGATGCAGGACCTGGTTAGTCAAAGAATTTACACGTTTTATATAATAAGGATTACTTTTTTATGGAAATGTTCAAAAGTTTGTGGATAACGAGATTTTTGTAAGAAATGTATATACAAATTTTTGAACCCATTTATCTTTTATAATAGATTTGTTTGAAATAATTTGTTATTTGGAACTTTCTATTATCAAAGATTTCTTAAATTTTTTTTATTTATAATAGACTCATTTCAAATACTTAAGCAAATATACAGTTCCCAAACTTGAACTTATGTATATGTGGTTTAAAAATAAAATTTTTCAATCATATGAGCAACCAGTCAGTATACATTTTAATTTAAATCTCTGCAAATGATAAACATGTATGTTATTTTTGGAATCAGATGTGACGGAAAGTAATGGCCGTAGTTCAGAAAGTCAGTCAGTAGTGTTGATCAAGTTCATTCATGTAATGATTTGTAAGACAAAAGTTGTTTTGTTTGCTTTTTTAACTGCACTAGTCTTCTTGTGTCTTTGATTTTGGTGTAGTCAGTGAGCAAATATTATCATCATATGTTTTTTTATTTTTTATTTTATTATCACCAAGACTTGGTCTTTGCTAACTTTATACTGTTTTGCTCTCCTAACAGAGTGAGTTCTGTGGCGATAAGCCCAAATCAGGGGCAAAATATGGCATCCCTGACTCTCTGACCATTTTATCAGAGATGGGAGAGGTCACGGATGGAGTGATGGACAACAAGGTGAGAAATGCAGATCAGAATTTCTCAGATTTACTGAGTTTCCTGTTGACCTGCCAATTAACAATGTGAACATGAAATATTAAAAAAATAAAAATAAGAAATAAACCCAATATAAACAAATAAAAGGTAATCCTAAATATGAATAGTATTGAAAAGTACAAAATAACACTGATTAAAAAGTATTTATCCTTGTTGTTAATGCCATTTTAATGCTGTTTTCAGATGGTACATTATCTCACCAGTCATGCTGATAAGATTGAGTCCATCCATTTTTCGGACCAATTCTCTGGTCCAAAAGTTATGCAAGAGTAAGATTTCCTAATTTGTCCCCTAGATTTTCATTTAATATTCCTATATTATGTTGGAGAATTTTTTTCTGGTTAATAAATGTAATTACTAATAGGTTCTAAATAATGTTTTTTTAGGGAAGGTCAGCCCTTAAAGCTGCCCGAGACCAAGAAAACACTGCTGTTTACATTTAACGGTGAGAGAAATCCGTTATCCAAAAATGGAAATTTGTCCTTGAAAGATTATCTGTGTGTTAATTGGCTGTGGTCTGCTTACCAGTGCCTGGGATGGGTAACACGTCTCCCAAAGATATGGACAGTCTGCTGCCTCTGATGAACATGGTGATTTACAGCATCGACAAGGTCAAGAAGCTCCGCCTCAACAGAGAAGTGAGTGAATGCACACAACCTGCACAACAGCATGTTTAATTAGTCACAGAAAGTTAATGTGTAGCTTTATCTGGCTATAGGGGAAACAGAAAGCCGACAGAAATCGTGCTCGCGTGGAGGAGAACTTCCTGAAACAGACTCATGCTCAGCGCCAGGAGGCCGCTCAAACACGCCGTGAAGAGAAGAAAAGAGCTGAGAAGGAAAGGATCATGAATGAGGAGGATCCTGAGAGACAGCGTCGCTTGGAGGTAGGGCTATGTAATTAATGCAAATTCATTTTTTTAATGAAACATCATAAAATCGAGACAAAACCATTATTGCCTTTACACTATTTTTGTATTTTTTTTTTATAAATAAAAATGTAAATAAATTAAATGTTAGACATGTTAACTGTCTAAAAAAGAAAAAAAAACTTTTAAATAGTTAACCTGAAAAGCTTACAATTTAATAAAAAGACAAGGTTAGTATTTCTTGAGTGCAGCATTTATAGAATGAAAGAATATGAGAGATAAGTGAGTGCAGCTGTCATACATTTCAAGTGCATAGTACTTAGAAAAAGACAGTGAATTATAGAAACCTTGAAAGGGCACCTATAATGAAAAATCTGTTTGTACAGAACTGTGTGTAGGTATTGTGTCCACTATCATATTGGAGTGATTAAAAACACAATTAGTCTCTATTTTAAAATCTCATGATTTTAGAATAGAATCCAAATCCCTCCCATTTTGAGGCTGACTGCAACATGATGTAGGAGTGTGGTTTTCCCTGCCCACCGAATTGATTGTCAGTCACGTATTAAAATGTCTCCATAGTTACACGTATAATCATATCCACAAGCCAGGACTTGCTCAAAGCAATTGGGATTAAAAAGATCTCCGCTTTCTGTATTCAGAAGCACCTCAAGAATGTTTTATATGTTTAAAACGTTTTTAAAACGGGGCATGTTTGTAATAAAGTAAAGACGATAAAATTGCCATGTAATTTATCACCACATCTGCGTGTCAGTACAATTATAAAAGAAGACACTTCAGCCCTGGTTTGTGGACATTAAATCAGATTTATTTTGTATGTTAACATACAGCAGTGGATATTAGCGTGTATTTTCTTGTTACATTTACTGTGCAAAAACAGTGCATAGTTAAACGCTCTCTCTCTGTGTGTGTGTGTGTGTGTGCGTGTGTGTGCGTGCGTGCGCGTGTGTGTGCGTGAACGTTGTAACAACATTGTGTGTGACTCATCTTTGCAGAAAGGCTTGAAATAACTCCACAACAAATACATCAAATAATCATTGGGAAAGTTCTTACTGTAATATTTCTCACAAACGTTATGTGAGATCTGCTTTCTTCATGTCTGTCACTCTGCTGTTTATCTGACGCAACGAGATGCCTCTGACAGGCATCGGGGAACAGTGGGCAAGGAGAAGTAGCTCATTTTCATTAAAGGCACAGGCAACAACAATTTTTAAGCAAATCTTAAAAAGAGGGTAAAATAGGTGTCCTTTAAAGAAGTACAGCTGTATAAATCCAGAATCAAACAAAAAGTGCTACAGGGGTAATTGATGTGTCTGTGCTCATTGGATAAGGGATTTATAAAAATACACACACAAAAAAGTCAAGTGTCCTTGAAAATTAAGTGAAAAAGTTATATATACTTGGTTATTTGTTTAAAAAAAATCAGTGTTTTTTACCTACTTTTATAATATCTTGCACTTTTTTGTGTAGTTTACATATTTTATTTATGGATGTATGTTTATGACTTCCCTGAGTAAACTTGAATTTAGTTTGAGCAACTCTTGTGTTTTTGGCCTCAAGAAAGTTGGTATTCTGTATTGATTTATTCAGCCTGGTATCTTAAGCCAAAATAACATTGTTATAGATTTTAATCCTCCATCCACTAGTGTGTATGTAAATACATTTCAATTTTTCAAATGTAGTGCTGCTATATGCATCAGTTTTCTCCTTCTGTTCTTCAGGAAGCCGCCCAGCGACGGGAACAGAAGAAGATGGAGAAGAAGCAGATGAAAATGAAGCAGATCAAAGTGAAAGCCATGTGAGACGGATACAAACACGCATACACACACACACACACACACACACACATACACTCATATTCATTAGAGACAGAATCTACTACTTCCACACCTGCTATTGTACACTTTTCTTCATGAATGTGCATGCCATTCGATTGGCTGCTGTTGCACCCATAGAAACGCTCTGTTTAATAGGAAGATTGGCTGTTGAGGAGTGAATCTGATCTTTAAAAGACAACTGTATTGGAGATGGTCTGTTCAAACAGCTTGAACTTGTTTCATTGTAGCAGCCATTTCAATCACAAGTTTTCGACATAACTGCATGACTGTTTTTATTGCAATAGGGTCAAGAATGTTGCTTTTTGTGGGCTTTGCTGTAATAAACTGGACTTTTTAGGCCTCATCAAACCAACTTTTCCAATTCAGATGTCTCTCGGAGTTCAGTGTTGACCTTCCAAAGCTTTATCGTGCTTTAGAGATTTCACTTCATCTCGTGAAAGTTTCAGCTATGCTTCTTTTAAAAGTGAAATCAGGGAGTGTTTTTAAAAGGAAATGGGTGGGTAAGAAAGCTTTTTGTACTACAGTGCTTCCTTAGCCATATTTCTATGAGTCCATGATCGCGAGTGTTTTATAGATGAGTAAAAGGCACATTATCACTGTCTTTCAATCTCTTTCTGTTTTTTTTATGAGCAAAGGCCCACTGTGAATTGTCACTGTCGAGGCAGCACAAACTCCTCCTTTATACGTATTTAATAGAGGTGAATTTTTAATTTATCGTTAAGTTAATAGTCAATCAGAGCATCCAAGAGCTTATATCATGTTTATGAGTGAACATTGACTGTAACATTTTTTCTGTAACATTTGTTAATGAGACGCTAACTAAATAAAACATTCATTAAAATGACTTTTTCTTGTTTTTTTTTTTTGGGGGGGGGGGTTGCTTCTCGGTTTATTCAATTCATTTCAGTTCAGCTTTATTTGTATAGCGCTTTTACAATGTAGATTGTGTCAAAGCAGCTTCACATAAATGGTCATAGTAACTGGATCAGGGTAGTTCAGTTTTAGTGTTTAAGTTCAGTTCAGTTTAGCTCAGTTCAGTGTGGTTTGAAGTCATTATTGAGAGTCCAAACACTGAAGAGCAAATTCATCGATGCGTAGCTGTACAGATCCTGAACCATGCAAGCCAGTGGCGACAGCGGAGAGGGAAAAAAAACTTCACCAATAGGAGAGTGAAGAAAAAAAACCTTGAGAGAACCAGACTCAGTTCGGCATGACCATTTTAATTTCTCCACTGGCCAAAAGTCTTGTGCAGAGCTGCAGTTTATCCAGATCAAGCGTTATATAAAATGATACATTTGTGTATGCAGCTTGTTTGACCGCATTTATAAGGAGATCAGTAACATGTAAATAAATACCAAGTGAATTTTACTTCACCAATTATTTTATTTTTTTGTCATTTCATTTTTTGTAGCTCTAATGAACCGATTATAACTAGTGTACTAGAGAAGGCACACAGCTGGTTAAAATTGTGAATAAAGGAAACCTTGATTAGTTACATCCTCAGAAATTACACATTTGCTTTATTTTTTATATAATTTAAACTTAAAATTGTTGCTATGAGTGTGTGTCAGTTATCCAGATACATACAAAATTTCATGAAAAAAGAGAGATGATCAACATGGGTAATCACTACATGCGCAGAAATCTGCAGATTTTTCTATTTATTTACTTGTCTAAGTTTATATTTATTCAGTTTTTTTTATTAATTTCAGCAATATTACTGACTACTATAAAAATGTTCACATGATTTACTTGCAATGTATTAATTTTAAGTGAGCATAACTTTAAAAGAGTTTGCATTGACAACTTCTTAATAAAGTACACTTTAGTATTGTTGACTCAAAATAATTATTTAGTCTTTACTTCTTAGTGTTCACATTACTAGGAAAATTTTAGGAAACCGTTTGCCTTAATATCTTACTCACTCCCATGGCTGTTTATATTGAAGTTGGCATTTAGCCGCACCATGTTGGTGTTTCATAACATCTATTTTTTTTATGAGGTGGGTCGTTAGCTCAGCGCTCAATCCCTAACCGGGAGGACCATTACATATACACATAGACTACGGAAAATTTAGCTTACCCAATTTTCCTATAGCGAATGTCTTTGGAATGGAGAATTTGCACAAAAAGTTTTGCAGATTTTGTCTGGCCCTAGTATCTCTCATATTAAAGTGACTTCTAAAGGATTTTGTGACAAAAGAGACTGGAATAATGACTGCTAGATATTCAGCTTTATATCGCATGAATAAATGACATCTTAAAATGTGTTATAACAAAAATCCTTATCAAAACAAGGCATCATGCTTGATTTTACAAGACAACCCAATCAGTTTTTATTTCTTTTTTTTTTGCTAAAGAAGTTTGTTAAAGTTGTGGTTTCTCTAATAGATTTAGATAGTAAAATAACTACGTATGTAACAAACATTTATCATGGTATGCAATGTGTGCATGTCAACAGATAAACATCTTCCAATCACTATTCATAAATGGGTAAACCAATCTCACTGTGGGTTTTATGAGTAAAATGAGGATTTACTTCAACTTCCAGCATTGCTTCGTATAGCAGAGCAACATTTAGCTACAGCATGTAATTTCCCTGTGTTATGAAAGAACATCACAGGAGTCACGCATTCAAAAATCTGGACCACCAGTAGCAGAGGCAGGGTTTGACATGGCAAATGTAGCCAATCAACTCTCTCTACTGAGAAGTAGAGTAATACACAGGTGTGAGGCAGAAAGTAAATTACCGATATACCCAAGCTTTTCAAAATGAAGCGAATGGCGTTCTGTTTGGTTTTGTCGGTTTTTGATGTCCGACTGTCCTTTCTTGATCCAGCGGGGTGTAAAGTAAACAAAATCCCCACACAAATGATAAAACTAAAGGGCACTGTTGCACAAAAAGACATCATGGTCAATGGTCGGTACATAGTGATATTAAAAACCACTATGACGGTTCCCATGATGACAATGTAGATCCAAACAAGTGCACAAAATATATGCGCCCGTGTTTTTTTTGTGGACTGCTTCTGGTTAACATATAGTATGGGATGAGCCACGGCGATGTACAAGTCTATACACAAGCCATTGAAGAATATAGATCCTCCAATCAAACTGCAGCTGTGGAACGCTGTAATGTACTCCTCAATTCCGGTCACTCCACCAAACATCTGGACGATGTTCAGAAGAACTCGGATGTAAAATAAGAAGTGCGAAATGGCAAGATGAAGAAACAGAAGCTCGCTGTGGTTAGAAGAAGATGAGTTTCCTGAACTTAAAGATACACCGCATTGTTTCCGAAATGCATCCCAAATCACATAAAGGGTCATTGGAAGATTGATGAGAAGCATTAGGATATCAAGGATTGAGTTGTACGATCCTCTGCAGAGTTGGTGCTGGGATGAAATGTTGGAAGAATTCCCATTCATGCTCTGGGAATATGAGGTGTTTATTGTCCACATTTCCATCTTGACAGAAGAAAAGGCTGATGTATGTTCATTGACGGGGGGGGGGGGTCAGATTTTTATAGTTCAGTGTCTGTCTGTGATTGATGTGTCTGTCATCCATTATCTGTGATATATTTGCATTGGGAAGGTCAAATTACCATTTGCAAAACCAACTTATTTTCCACTTTTTTTTGCCTTAGAAGGTACACCTGCTTAAAGCTGAATCGTTTGGTTTAATATGACAAACTTGTGAAGCTCCACACAACAACACACTCATTTGAGCTGAATAGGGGCCATGTTGTACTTAATTGTTCCACTTCGGTGTAGTTGGGTCAAACCTGACCAAGATTTAAAGAGTTAAAGAAGTTTGACATGGCTTTAAAAAAAAAGTTTATCATTGCTTGCTCATGTCATTCCAAACGTTTAGACGTTGGCCAGACATCTACTGAAGTTCAACCTGAACATCAGAATAGGATGGCTTATGCACTTACATTTAAGCATGCTATGAACCTCAACTTTGCAGTGTTCAAAGAAAATAAACATACAGTGCATCTATAAAGTATTCATAGCGTTTCACTTTTTTCCACATTTTGAAATGTTACAGGCTTATTCCAAAATGGATTAAATTTATTATTTTCCTCAATATTCTACACACAATACACCATAATGGCAATGTGAAAAAATAGTTTTTTTTATTGTTGCTAATTTATTAAAAATAAAAAACCTAAGAATCACATGTACATCAGTATTCACAGCCTCTGCTCAATATTTTGTTTATGCACCTTTGGCAGCAATTACAGCCTAAAGGCTTTTTGAATATGATGCCACAGGCTTGGCACACCTGTCTTTGGGAATTTTTGCCCATTCCTCTTTGCAGTACCTCTCAAGCTCTATCAGGTTGAATGGGAAGCGACGGTGTACAGCTATTTACAGATCTCACCAGAGATGTTCAATAGGATTTAGGTCTGGGCTCTGGCTGGGCCACTCAAGGACATTCACAGAGTTGTTAAAAAGGCACTCTATTGATATTTTGGCAGTGTGCTTTGGGTCATCTTTCCCTCTATCCTGATTAGTCTTCCAGTTCCTGCTGCTGAAAAACATCCCCACAGCATGAGGCTGCCACCACCATGCTTCACTGTAGGGATGGTATAAGCCTGGTGATGAGCAGTGCCTGGCATTCACTCCAGAGTTTAATTTTAGTCTCATCAGACCAGAGAATTTTGTTTCTTATAGTCTGAGAGTCCTTCAGATGCCTTTTGGCAAATTCCAGGTGGGGAGTGGCTTCCGTCTGGCCACTCTACCACACAGGCCTGATTGGTGGTTTGCTGCACAGACGCTTGTTTTTCTGTAAGTTACTTCTCTCTCCACAGAAGAACGCTGGAGCTCAGACAGACTGACCATCGGGTTATTGATCACCTCCCTGACTAAGGCCCTTTTCCCCCGATCACTTAGCTTAGATGGCCAAACAGCTCTTTGGTGGTTCCAAACATCTTCCACTTATGGATGTAAAATTGCCACTTGTGTGACTTTGTATAGTTTAAGAACATTGACAGAGACATTTTTGAGTATTTTTACAGTCCTGTTAAATACAATCCAAAGGGTTTTGCTATTTTGGTAAAACACATTTGCATGGAATTGCTCACATTGTATTCGATGTGTAAAAAAAGTTATTGTTTACCCAAACATTTAAAAAGAACACATTTTACCTTTGGCTTGCTTGGTTTGGGACTTGTGGAGTTGCGCACTGATTCAGTGTTTGGACTTTCAGCAGTGAAAATTAAACCACACTGAAATTAACTAAACTCTAATTTAACTCTGAAAACTGGACTGACACTGTTTCAGTTTACTAGAATTTCAATGTTAAGCTGCTTTAACACAATCTACATTTTTAAAGCGCTATAGAAATAAAGATGACTTGAATTGAACAGAGCAGTAATGACAATACCAAAATCATGACATTTTAATCCAAGGTTATAATACTATTAGAATCATATACCAACCCAAAATGTTCTGACAGACCTAGAAGGCACTGTGATTTGGCTATAAAAGGCTCCATGATTAAAAATTGTTCAGAATGTGCCAAAAAGCACATGTTGGTTATGTTGACCTTCTTTTGCAGTGGAGATTTGACTTTAAGGTCTTGTTCTGGTCTATTCATCTTTTTATTTGACCTGCATCCAAATTTAATATGAAAATAAGTTGTTTCATACTGTCACAGACCATGCAGTTGACTTCTTTTTTTGTGCATTGGAGATGCAAATTGTAGGAAAATGAATATGGAGCAGGAAATGGGAGGGAAAATTCAGTTTATTCCTGGATTAAGCTTATATTCTATGGAAATGCGACTTAACTTTTTTTTTGACATGCCGTGATTCCTCATGGATAAAATAAGCATAAAA